GAGGGATACCTGTGAGTTAGGTCACTGTAGACTCAGGGAGGGCAGATGTGACACTAGGATCATTGGATTGAGGCGGGACTTCCACATAGGTGCCCTGTGACCCAGGGTCAGTGTCCTCATGAGAGTTGCTAGTCCAGGACCAGTCAGCACTACTGTAGGCAGGGCGCCTGGCTTGATTCGGTATTCCCTTCTCCACTGTATGGGCAGCTTGATTTTTTCCAGGAATGAGTGAGTGCTGCGGCTGTGTTATAGACGTTGTACTTCAAGGGCAGAGATTGGAAACAAAACCCACAATTCTACTGTATGTGGCAGCCGGTCAGAACTACAGCCCCCGGAGGATGGGCAGAGGCCCCACAACGTGTCCTGGCTGCTCCACCCAGCGTGGCTTCTCTGCCTGCAGGGACCGGACAGCTTCTCTGCAGCTCCAGGAAACCAAGCTCCTACAGAGGCCAAACCCCCTGAGCGACCTTCTGGTCCCTTTCCAGAGCCGAGTGGCACAACCCACCTAGCCGCTCCTCAGAAGGAAAGGCCTGGTGATCTCTTCTGCAAAGCCTCCAGTCAAAGAAAACCTTACGGAGCAGTGTCATTGCACATAACAATCATAACATTGTGTGCCCTGTGCACAAAGCACTGCCAACCCAGAGCCGGAGCTGTCCCTGCTCTGCCCAGCTGCAAAACAGCTGAAGGACACTGCACTGCTGACTCCCCAAGGGCAGGCCATCTCAGTCACATTCACCTCTGCGTTCCGGCTCAGTGCTGGTGTCTGTCCAGACCGGCTTCCCTGAACATCCATGAATGTGGAAGAGGACTGCTTGGTGGAAGCCACAACACCATGAGAAAAACCTTCACGACCAGCTGGAGATGGGTCTGACATCAGCATCACATCCATGACTAATGCTGACATCTGCCTGTTTCTAGAAGCATCCAACAATTGCTCACACCACACACTTCAGAAACCATAAGAGCAGCAGCCAGGCCTCCCTCCTCCTGCCAGGATGGGAAGGCTGCACCCTCCACTAGAGAAGGGGGGGGGCACGTGGGGGCCACAGCGTCCTGACAGCATTGGCGCTGCCCCATCTGTAAGTCACTCTGGTCTGTTCTCCTCAGCCTGGAGCCTGGGGCCTGGCACACGGTGTTCCCCATGCTTCCTGGTGTAACGTGAATACTTCCTGGTAGCATGGTTATCTGTCCAAGTCATCGGTTTTCATCCAAACATTTGTTGGTGTCTTGTAAGCCAGCCTCTGCCTTGCTCTGCTCAAGAGCCACTCAGCAATCCAATTCATCAGTCATGTGGCCAGGACAGCCGCGTGGACAGGACAGCTGTGTGACGGGACAGCCGCGTGGACAGGACAACCGTGTAGCCAGGACAGCTGTGTGACAGGATAGTCGTGTGGACAGGACAGCCGTGTGGCCAGGATAGCCATGTGGCCAGGACAGTCGTGTGGCCAGGAAAGCCACGTGTCTAGGACAGTCATGTGGACGGGACAACAGTGTGGCCAGGACAGCCATGTGGACAGGACATTTGTTTGACAGAACAGTCGTGTGGACAGGATAGCCACGTGGACAGCAGACCCATGCCCTCACTCTCACTCAGAACGCAGCAGCTACTCAGGTTTTGGCTGAAGGAGGAGTCGGTGGTCACAGTGAGAAACTCAGGCACAGTGGGCTACAGGGCTGCACAGTGGACCACCGTCTTTGTGTCACACACATGGGGGAGGCTAACGCAGAGCACAGGTGGAGAACATGCTAAGCAATCCCTGTGGCGGTGCAGCCAGGTTATATTGATTTGTACTCGCCTTGGAACCCTCCCATGCCCGACTGCCTTGTAGCTAGCTGTCTCTCCCGCAGGGGGGCTTCTGGGAGGAGATGTCAGCTAGTCTTGGGACCCCAGGAAATTAGCCTTTGTGGAAGGGGCAGCAGCCATCTTGTAATGTCAGCTGCAGGATGTGTCTGGGAGGAGGGGAGAGCAGGCTGTCCTCCAGGGGTGTGGTGGTGCTGAGGGTCGAGCCTGTGAGAAAGCAGCCTGAATCAGCTGGAAGCGCTGCCAGGTGAGGGGTCTTCCTTTGAGGATGCCGTATTCAGTCACGACAACCATTACCGCAGCCCTCTCCACCCCCCACTCCCCCTACCCCGCAGAGATACTCTGCCCAGTAGAGAGGGCAGGGAGCCGGTCTCTAGAGCTCTGAGGAGGTAAACCTGGGCAGTCTGTCCTTCCTTCCAGTCAGGGCCCCGAGGGAACCCTCCCGTGACAGGCACTGGCTGGAGACACGCCATCACATGTCTGCAGAGCATCTCTAGGAAGTGCTGGTGAAACAAGCAGCAGTGCTCTGCGCACACCCCGCACTCACTTGGACACAATGGGACATCAACGAGCTCCTGGAGCTGGCCAGTAAGACTGGCCCGGAGGTCTGCCCCATGCCCCACGGGGAAGCCTGCAGATAGGACAAGGTAGGCTCGAGTGGGCTTGGTCCCCACATACCTAACCACATACAACTTCCACCCTGCTCCAAAGCACACCCTTTATTCCAAAGACAACAAGTTTGGTGGCCTTGGCAGAACCACCTTATTCCAGCCTCCAGACTTTGCTCCCACCTGGAAGGCACCTGTCTCCCTGCTACCAAATAGATCCAAGGCTCAGTTCAAGCTCTGTCTGCCCCTCAACACCCTCTCTGGTTCCTCCAGCCAAGACATCCCTGTCCCCAGAGTCAGCACTTGGCCTGACCCCACACACACTCTATGGAGGTCACTGCCCTTTCTCCTCACAGTAGCCTTACACGCCCATGGGGGCAGGAATGAGATTCCTCCCTCTGTTCTCTTCTTTTCCAAAACTCTTGTCACAACATTAGGCAATGCAGATTGCTGCTGTTGTTAGGGCCGTCCAGTCCCCTCCAACCCTCTACCCACCCTGCGCCATCCTCAGAACTGTTAATCTGAACCATCATGGCTCCCGCCAAGCGGTGGGGAGGAACCCCTGATATTGCTGGGGGCACCTGCCTCCCAGCTTGAGTGACCCGTCTGTGATGGCCGCTGCTCCCGCCACACCTGCTGTCAGTGTGACCCACTTCACAGGCAGATGCACACCTCTGCTTACTGAAAGGGGGCCCTGTCCTGGATACCAGTCAGGTGTGGTTTCTTGTCTGCATCCATGAAGCTGGCTCTGTGAGGTGGGGTACAGGGCCCGACGCAGCCCCCCTGCAGCCTCAGGTCCCAGCATACAGGAGCTGTATGGTAAATACACGTACTCAGCTACAACCCAGTAACAACGTCTCCTCCCCGTGCGCAGGAGAGGTAAGTGTTGACGGGAACCTCATACCCCTTACCCATCTGTCTGTCAACACTGACATCGGCCCTCACTTGGCTCTAGGGCACAGCCATGTCAGGAGGTGCTGGATTTAGAAAAAAACAATACAGGGATGACATGAAGTTTATACAGCCTAGCAAACATCGTCCTGACCACCACCAAGTCCCCACCTCATGGCCTCCACCCACCCCTTGACTTCATGTTAGCCCCCTTTACGGATGAAGTCCCGGAGACAAAGTTCAGTGGAGCAACTTGCCCAAGGTCACACAGCTGGTGACAGATCTCCACTAGCAGTTGGGAGCTCTTTCTACACAGAATGGGTCAGGACAGGGTCAGCACTTTCACCACCGGAACAAAAGCAGGGTCAAAAGCTAACTTTCCTTTGACCCGCTAGCAGGAAAAGGAAGTGGGATTCGGGACAAGCAACTTCCAAAGGCCATAAAATAACCTAATTAGGAAGGGACTGGCTCTCAGGCGTAGACTGGCAGGAAGACGCTACACTGAGCAGAAGGCAGCTCGGCCCTGAGCTATCCACTACCACGTCACTTTATGCCCTTTTATTCAAATCCCCCAAACAAAGCTGCTTCTCGGGCTATGCCCAGCCATCCCGGTGCCTCACTTAAGGTTTAGTCACATCGTTTCTACACATCAAAAAGACGATCCTGAGAATGACGAACAGTGAGATTTTTACTAAACAGAGCTGGAGTGTCACGAGTTGTTTAATACGTCTCTTCTAGCCCTAGTCTGTACCCCCAGCAATGTCGCTGCCCTGCTGGGGTCTAGCCCTAGTCTGTATCCCCAGCAATGTCGCTGCCCTGATGGGGTCTAGCCATAGTCTGTACCCCCAGCAATGTCGCTGCTCTGCTGGGTCTGGGTAAAAGGAGGTGGGAGAAGACACTGATGGGATGATAAGATTCAGCTAGGGATGTGAGCAGAGTTCATTATCATTGTGAAAACTTGAAGTTCTCGCATGGGTGGGTTTAAAACGAGCCTTCTCAGCAGGAGGGTGGATCTCACTACGATCAAAGAAGAGCCAGGAGACCCCTGCACATCGAGCCACTTGGACCCAGGGACAGAAAACTGTGACACTGGGGGAGGAGTAGCAGCAACATTAAAAACTAGAGCATGAGACAGAGCCGTGGGCTTCCCAGCAAGTACAGCTGAGTGACTCTGAGCAGAAGTGTTTGCAGAGTGGGGTACCTCCAGCCTCATAAGTGGGGGAGCTCAGCCGAGTCCTTGAGGCTGAGGCTCACAGTGGAGTGGTTTATTCTGTGGGCACTTACCAGAGCCAACTGGAACTGTGCCCTGAGCAGTTCTGACCCTGAATTGTAACCTATGAACTTCCGTAGCAAACCCCATAACCATGCGTATGGTGTCTGAGCTCTGGGTGGCCATTGCAGTGGATTATTGAGCCCAGCTAGGTAAGGAGGGCGGTGGGAGAGATGGCTGGTGCCCCATATTTTCGCAGTCCCCAAGTTCTTTAAGTATCAGATTTCTCTGGTAAGGGAAGCTCAAGTACTTCAGACAGCCAACTGCACCCGAACTGAGCTAAAAATACATGTCTGCATCCTTTTGACCACAGATGTCTAGCTGGTTTGGGGGTACGTTCATTTCATGCCCTCCTCCCTGCCTCCCACCCCGGACAAACAACAACAATGGCCAGCTGGGCATCACCAGCCTGGTATCAACGTGGTATTACCTCCCAGAAGCTATCGCTGGACACCTCTAAGCCAACAGAATCATCGTACGTGACAGACATTTCTCCAGAGGGTGAGGGGGCACCAGGGAACACGTGTCTCCAGAAGCCAACTTCAGATGTTCAGAATCTGTAGGCAAACCTATAAGAGGAAAAAAAGATAAGATTGTGGTTTTTCAAATCCTCCTTGTTAAAAAAAAAAGGAGCAAATCATCTTCACTGTACAGACATTTCTCATCTCCATCAGCGCCTTTAGTGCAGAGCCATCTGCGTATCCCATGGGCAGAAGACAGTAGACACCAATAAACTCTGGGTGCTGGCGTGTGTGAGAGCGCCTATATGTCCCACATTAATGAGTAAACGTCTCAACATTTTACCAAAAACCTCAGTAGCCTCACATGCATGTGAAAGTTGGACAGTGAATAAGGAAGACCATAGAAGAATTGATGCATTTGAGTTATGGGATTGGAGGAGGATATTAAAGGTACCATAGACTGCCAGAAAACAAACAAATCTGGGTTGGAAGAAGTACAACCAGAACGTTCCTTAGAAGCCAGGATGGCCAGACTTCTTTGGACATATTCTCAGGCGGGACCAGTCCCTGGAAAAGGACATCATGCTGGTAGAGTGGAAGGTCAGCGATAAAGAGGGAGACCCCCCCGCCCCCCAGTGAGATGGACTGGCACAGTGACAGCAGTAACAATGGGCTCAAGCGCACAAGACCAGGCGGTGTTTCATTCTGTTCTACATGGAGTCGCTATGGGTCAGAATGTAACACCAACAACAACCAAAAAGCTCAAAGGACTTCCTGAAGAGCAGTCTGCATTCTTACATCAAGGGGCTGATAATCTTACTGAATCATCATGGCCCTCGGAGAAAGGAGGAGAGGGTGAAGAGACTTCCTGCTTCTCTGGGCTTTTCCTCCTCAGCAGCCAGGCTAGGGTGGGGGTGAACTGTGCGTGGAAACAACCCCAGTTTTGACACCTGACTCCTCCACCCTCCAAAGAGATTCTGCCACATTCCCCGAGTTGGCCACTGCCTCTCCTCACAGGCCACTGCTGCCCCAAGTCCAGACCAGACTGTTCTGACACTATCTGTGTGAGGCTCAAGGAGAAAGAATAAAGACATACAACAAGGCGAAATCAACCATCTCTGAATAGTCATTTCAGTGTTCTCAAATGCAGACGAAGATGAAGGGGAGATTATTCCTCCTGGGAGGGACGTCGTTGCTAGCCCACCCCCATACCACTCCACCCCTCACCACAAATCACTTGGATAGACTGAGCTGTTCACAACCTGCATAAGACCTTCTGACTTCTTGGTAGAAAGATGATTCCAGTTTTCTTTCCATCCTCCTGTGTTCAGATCGGTCAGAGATCTGGAATTTTCTCTGTTCCACAGCGCAAAGCCTCAGCTTTGCTCTAAGGCCTTTTCCTTAGATTTCCGTATTTAATACATTCACAAATCTCAGCGAGACGGCCCAGGGCAGTGAGTTGCAAAAGTAACACACATTCTAAAGACAGGCCACCTGGGCTGGCATCCTAAACCCACCACTGGCTGAGAAAGGATTCCCCCGGAGAAACGTCACCAGGGACAGACCGAAGGGGCCTGTGCAGCCTCTCTGAGAACCTCGGATGAGAAGAACACATGGCCCCGGGACAAGTGACTACAACAGCTTTGTCTAAATGTGGGAAGGACAGCGGAACACAGGAGAGTGAAATGAGGCGGGAATGAGGCTAGATGGGTACCTGGTCCATAGTAAGAGCTCAACAATGTTGAGGATGGTAATTAGAACTTGCGAACCCTTCCCCCACCTCCTTAGTTTAGTCTCTTGTTTTGTAGTTGATCAAACTGGTGATCAGAGAGATTGAGCCACATACCTAGAGTCACCAAGCCAAGCTGGTGGAGACCAGCATTCGACACCATGTCTGTCTGCTCAGGTGATGTGTTCTCTTTTATACCAAGGCATTTCCCAAAAGGATCTCAAATTTAAGTCAACGAGACTTCTGGCAACAGAGTTTTAATTGCCCTGTGGACTGCAGACTTTCCAAAGTTGAGCACCGGCAGGGAGCGTAAAGTACAGAACAGATCTGGTGCTCTAAGGCCAAGGGCTCCGGAGACACTCAAGATACCAACAGACAGGTGCATGGTTAGGACACACTCACTTTTCCTAACCGTGAGCTCTCCTGGCAGCTGCCAGCATTCTGAAATCACAGGGAGCGTGTGTCATTCCAAGCCCGAGGCTGTGATAAAAGGCCACCCAGCACAGGTGCCTCGGGCCTGGGTCCTGCAGTGCATGCCCCAACTCCTGGGATTCTACTTTTCTGGGATTTTCTCAGACCTGCCTAGCCCACTCTGCTCCAGGCTCCCTGGGAGTAATGGCATTTTGGCTCTGAATGTTTGGGGAGGCATGGGGGGCAGTGCCCAGCCAAGTTGCCAGGGGCCGGTGGGACAGGAAGCAAATGCCCTGGGACCTGGGAGAGGCACATTGCCATTTGTAGGCTCAACGGGAGCACCTCACTCATGTCAACAACAGATTTACAAAGAGCCTACTGTGTGCCCGTGTAGTGGGTTACACATTGGGCTGCTACCCACAGGAGAGCGAGGTGGCTTTTTGCTCCCGTAAAGACTTACAGCCTCGGAAACCCTACAAAGGGTCGCTAGGAGTTGGTATTGACTCAACAGCACCACACCACCACCTGGTGCAGGAGCCTAAAGCAGCCGCTGCGAGTGGGCCCAGCACTAGAAACACCCAGCAGTCAAATTCTAGTTCCCCAAGTCACTGGGGAACCTCACTCCACAACAGAAGCTGGAACTTCAGGGCCTGAGGAGATGACACAGTCTCTAGCTGACCAGTGACGTGCTCAGGTCTCCTCAGGCCAGAGCCAGGGTCCTCACCACAGCACTGTGTTCAGAAACTGAGGTCCCCAAGATCACGGCAGTCCAATGAGGACCGAGCGCACCCCAGCGGCATCCGCGTGGTCTCAGCTGACGTTTTACGGCTACAGTTGGCTCCCTTTTCCTCATGAGCAGGAGCAGATGGCCCAATAAGCGAGGTACGCACGGGCTGACTTGTGCTTACTTACTTATCGGTAGTGAACACTTTCACTTTTTTTAACCCCACCACATGCAAGATTTCCATTTTAGGTCTGACTGGTCTCTCTCCCAACCCCACAGCACCTTCCTACAGAATCAAAGCCTCTTCAATTTCACAACCCCTGACAGGGAAGGGATGGAGTACCCAGTCAGTGAAGTAAGCACAGGTTTACTTGTGCTTACTTACTCATCTGTGGTGAACAGTATCACTATAGAGGTGAAACCCAGTTGGGATTATTCACTACAGATGAGTAAGTAAGCACAAGTCAGTCACTCTCACCCTGATAATTGGGCCATCAGCTCCAGCTCAGGAGAGTGGTTTGGAATTCCTTTCAGTGCTGAATCGACTCTCCCCCAAGTCCTTCAGTTCTCGTCCTCATCTCCCAACCTAAACATTCTAAGATTAGCTCTGATCTTTAGTAGTAGCCGACTGCGGCCAAACAAAACCAGAAAGTCAGATCTCCTTGTGTACGTACAACCGGACACGCGTGTCAGGCTCATCGTGACTGATTTCAGGAAGGTCTGGACCACCACTTCCTTCTGACTGAACTCAGAACTGATCTTACACAGTGTCTCTGTCTCTCCTGAAGGTCTGAAACCAGCAGAGACATTCAAAGTCCTAGTGGGGAAACTGAGGCAAGGCATTAGGCAGCAGTCCCTGCAACCACACAGACCAACGTGCCCATTCAGGAGCGCCTCGGATGTGGGAGATGCTTTGGCAGGTGATAGTTCAGGTCAAGTTCCAGTTTTCTCGCTGCCCAGCTGTGAGGGTGTGGGGACGCCCTTGCTCCTCCAGTTGTGCTTCACTGGTTTCAGCAACATAACCTAAGAGAGCTCCCAGACCCAGGGATGGGGGGTCTGCCTCAACAGGAACGTCCTCCTGAGTCAACACTGTTGGTGTCAAATATCCTCAGGACTTATTCCGATCCACATGGCAGTCACAAAGAGCTGGGGCTCAGGCTGCTAACCAAACGGTTACAGATTCTAGTCCAGCTGCAGACACCTCAGAAGGAAGGCCTGCTGATCGACTTTCCAGAAAACAGTCTTTGAAAACCCTCCGGAGCACAGTTCAACTATGACAGCTGTGGTGTTGCTACAAGTTGGAACGGACGCAGTCTGTACAGTGGTAACTCACTGTGGGGGCTTGGTTTGGTTTTGCACGTTTGTGTGTGTATTTTAGGTGAAAGTTTACACCTAGGTTCCCCCTTCAACAACTTTTATGCAAATGGTTCCGAGCCATTGGTTACAATGTCTGCACTGTATCAGCAGTCTCCTTATTTCATTCTGCTTGTTCTGTTTCCTTTGATCTAGTTGCCCTCACTGCTATTTTAATCTGCATGTTCCTCCTTGATGCCATGCCTAAACTACAAGGGAACTTGAAAAAGGTTGTGTAAGACTATCACTGTCTTTTTCATTCCATTTTCTTTGAGCTTTTTGAAGCCCCTTGTACTTGTGTTGAAAATATTTTCTCACATTCATTCTTTGTTGTTGTTAGGTGCCGATGGATCATTTCTGACTCAAAACCCCCTATGTATAACAAAACAAATCACTGCCGTCCTGCGCCATCCTCACAATTGTTCTTATGTTTGAGCCTATTGCGGCTGTCACTGGACCAATCCATCTCATTAGGGGTCTTCCTCTTTTTTGCTGACCCACCACTTGACCAAGCATGGTGTTCTTCTCCAGGGACTGGTCCCTCCTGAGAATATGTCCAAAGTCTCACCATCCTGGCTTCTAAGAAGCATTATACCTGTACTTCCCCCAAACCAGATTTGTTTGTTCTTTTGGCAGTCCATGGTACTTTCAATATTCTTCAAACTGACATCTTTGCCAAATGCAGTACATCCGTTTACTTCTTGACTGATGTGTCCATGAGTGTTGATTATGGATCCAAGAAAAATGAAGTCTTTGGCAACTTCAATCTTTTTTCCATTTATCCTAATGTTGTTTATTATGATGCTGACAGT